TTCCCCGCCCCCGGCCGGCCGGCCTCGCTGGGTGCTCGGTCTCGCCTGCGCCATGGACGACGCCGGGGAGCCGCGCCTGCCCAGGAAGAAGGGCACCAAGCGGCCCCCTCCCTCGGCGCCGCCGCCGCCGCCCGCCCAGGGCGGCGGCAGGGGGAGGGACAGGCTCGACTCCCTCTCGCGGGACTACCACGATTTGCTCAAGGTGCTCCCGTCTCTCTCCTTCCGCCGTTGTTGGCCGCCGCCGCCGACTCGTCGAACCTCTTCCTACCCTGTATACAAGTCCATCGTATAATACACTACATTGTATCCGTGGCCTTGTTTGTCGGCGTCACAACCCGCGGCGTCACGCCGCCGTTTGATCTTCTGTACTGGCAGATTGCTTTTCTGTCTGATTGCTGGTTTACTAGTCCAGTTGGAGGATTGTTAAATTCGGGATTGAGGGTTCGATTGTACCGCTAATGTTTGGTAACAAAGGGGTTTCACCGTGTCAATGAATTAGTCTAGTTCTACCAGTACGGTCTAATGCCTTGGATACTGTATATGTTCTCGATTGGACTCGGAGCTGACACTGGTAGCATGGCTGATGCAGGAAACTGAGGCGAAGAAGAGGAGGCTAGAGCGCATAAACCAGCGAAAGCTTGGACTGCTCGCCGAAGTCAAGTACGACAGACAGTTTCTTGATTACTTCTTTGTCACTACTTGTTATCATCTGGTTTTATTCCCTTCCAATGACATTGTAAGTTTGGAATTGCGTTTTTCTGCCAGATTCTTGCGGAGGAAGTACAGTTCGTTTGCCAATGATGATTCAGAGCAAACACATCACAGGCTAAAGAAGAAGAAAGCTAAGCAAATCCCATCCCCTCTGGGGATCAATGAAGGGCCGTCCACTAGCAAGAACACAAATGTGGACTTGAATCATGATTCTGCAATGGTATGTTTTGAAATGCCATACAGTCAGACTGTAGCTGTAATGTGAATATCTTACATCTGACATTTTTGCTGCCTCTTTACCCGCCGAATTGCATTTTCTGACAATCTGGATTTCTCTTTACCTGCAGAATGCTGAGGGAGCCGGTTTCCAGGGGTACCAGGACCATCCAGAACCTGGGAAGCATGATCAGGCTGGTGTAGATGAAGATATGATGACCTCCAATATCAAGTTATCAGTTTATAGGGATACAGAAAATTCCCCGGCCAGTGATGATAAGAGGGCAGCCGCATGGCAAGACCGGGTAGCCTTGCAGGTCTAGTCCCGCCGTAGAAATGGGTATGGCATGGCATCCTTCTCTGGTGGTTGACTGCACCCCTGCCTGGTTTCGTCAAATATTGCCCGGTGCTCTGTAAATGAACAATTGATATAAGGATACTCATGCTTCATGTTTACAGTTCATGCTCTGTAGAGGCATGGACTGAGATAGTTTGACACACTTAGACAAGTTCGATCCTATTACAATGTTACGAAACATCCAGCCTGGATTTCGAGTTACGGTTCTTTGCCTATGCTTTTTCTTTTGATGCGTGTTATGGATGATTTAGAAGCAATGTTTCTGTTTATTAGTTCAGATCAATTGTGTAGTTTGCTTATTAGAGAATCCTTTCAATACAGTAATGATCTTAAAACGTAAACTAGATGATAGTTTTAGCCATCCTCATATTTCTGTGAATATTCAGGAGCGTGCCAACTGCCAGGTGTATCCTTCATTGCAGTGCATGTTAATGAGCAGATCCACATTTGCTTGTGAGCCTTACAATCTTCTGTTCCTAGACGTCTTGACAGTTCAATCTAAACTGACAAAACGTCTTATATATTTAGAAACAGAGTTAGTAGCATTTTAGACGTGCAGAGCAAATAAACCTTTCTTCCTACTGGGAGGTCCTGGGTAATCTTCTAATCTCAGTAAAGACATAGCAAACTGCTGGATCGTACAGTATGTATACTGATTATCACATGGCATGAATCATTGAAAATTACTCCTAAAACAGTAAACCAGTCAGCAGTTTGTCCTGAAATGGACGACATTAGATTCTTGCAATGCCATCACATAATTCGAATGAATATACATACATCATGTTTGCAACTTCCCCTAACAACCATACACCTGCATACACGAACACAAGCCCTAGCTTCGGACACGGCGATGTTCCAGTGTTCCACCGATGTTGCACTGCAGATCGCAGACCTCTCAAAGGTTCTCCTCCACTTTCTCCCAAGGCAGTTCATTCTTGCTACTTGAGCCATCCAAAGGAAGTTCATCCTTGCCATTCGAGCCATCTGATCTGAAGCTAGTTCATCTGCGGTCTCGACACTACCTTTTTACGACAAATCGCCTCTGGCGAGCATCACCTGAACCTTCCTTTGATGCTTTCTGCTCATGCAGTGATTCTCAAATTGAGCCTTAGAGTTACATTTGGCCTGGCATGTAGCGCAATCCCATTCCGAGGACGGTATTTGGTCCTTGGCAATCTCTGGTGGATTGTTTTTATCTTGGTTGATTTTTTCGCAAAGGGCCTGATCATCCACCAGTTGGAGACTCTCGTCTCCGCGTCTGGAGTAGCTCTCCCAGTTTAACTGGCAACTCGTTTCCTCTACATGTTGTGGCACGTCGCTTGAATTCAACTTTGCTTTCTGTAACTCAGAACTCATTGCCGTGTTCTTGCATTCTTCTGTGACAACTTGGATCCTTTTACTCATCAGGTGGATATCCAAATCCGATTCGCAGTTACAGATACCTTGGCAAATGCTGCAACTCTTTATTGGAGGTGACTCATGCTCTGGTGCATTGCTCTCATGCGATTTTGCATCCTGTGACACATTGTTACTGCCTTTGCATGATGCTCCCATGTGGAGACTGTTCACTATCGCAATATCACCTTCGCTGAGCATCACCTGGGTCCTCTGTTGATGCTTTCTGCTTATGCAGTGATTCTCAAAATGGGCTCTAGAGATACATTTGGCCTGGCACGCAGCGCAATCCCATTCCGAGGATGGTGTTTGGTCTTTGGAAATTTCTGGTGGACTGTTTTCCTCTTGGTTGATTGTTTCGCAAAGGGTCCGAACATTCAGTTGGTGTCTTTCATCTCTAAGGTGGTTCTCCGAGTCTAGGTCACAGTCCATTTTCCCCACTTGTAGCGGCCCGCTGTCCCGGTTCAAGTTTGCTTTCAGAGACTCTGAGTTGATTGCCTTCTGGCTTTCTTCAAATAGAGCTCGAATCTTCTTTAAGTGCCTTTTAGCCTTCAGGTGGATCTCTAGATCTGATTCACGGCCACAGATAACTTGGCAAATGCTGCAACCTACTAAAGGTGGCTTCTCCACATGCTGTGGCACATTTCTTTCACGCGACTTTGCGTCCCGTGACACAACGTTCTTCGCCATATCATTGCTACTGCTTATTTCCGCAATATCACCTTCGCCAAGTACAGCCTGGGTCTTCTGCTGATGCTTTCTGCCTGTGCAGTGATGCTCAAGTTGAACTTTAGAGTTACATTTGGCCTGGCACATCGCGCAGTCCCATTCCAAGGACAGCATCTGGTCCTTTTCTGCCGGACTGTTTTTATCTTGGTTGATTGCTTCGCCAAGGGCCTGAACATTGAGTTGGTGTTTCTTGTCTCCGAGTCTGTGGTAGCTCTCCCAGTTTAGTTCGCAATTTGTTTTCTCCGCATGCTGAGGCACACTGTCCTGGTTCAAGTTTGCTGTCTGTGAGTCAGAATTCATTGCCTTATTATTGCTTCCTTCGAGTAGGGCCCGAAACTTCTTTAAGTGCCTTTTACTGTTCAGGTGGAACACCAAATCCGATTCGCGGTTACACGTAACTTGGCAAACGCTGCAATCCCATACCGGAGGTGGCTTCTCTGCATGCTGCTGCACATTGTTCTCGTCTGATTTTGCTTCCTGTGGTGTAATGCCCGTGCTGTTGTTATCGCCTTCCTTGCATGAGGATACGATGTGGAGACTGTTCACTATCGCAATATCGCCTTCGCGGAGTATCACGTCGGTCTTCTGTTGATTCCTTCTGCTTTCACAATGATGCTCAATCTGAGATTCAGAGTTACATTTTTCCCGACACATAGCACAATCCCATTCTGAGGGTGGTTCTTGGTCGTTGGCAATTTCTGGAGGATTTTTTTTCATTTGGTTGTTTTCTTTGCAAGGGGAGCAAACATTCAGTTGGTGTCTCTCATCTCCGTGGTTGTTCCCCAAATCTAATTCACAATTCATTTTCTCCGCATGCTGCGGCACGCTGTCCGGGTACAGGTTTGCTTTCTGTGACTCGGATATTGCCATGTTCTTACTTTCTTCGAGCAGGGCTCCAATCTTCATCAAGTGCCTTTCACGCTTCAGGTGGACCTCAAAATCTGATTCGCGGGCACAGATAACTTGGCAATCGCTGCAACTCCATACTGAAGGTGGCTTCTCTACATGCTGCGACACAATGCACTCATCCGATTTTGCTTCCCATGCCGCAACGTCCATATGGCTGTTATTGTCTTCTTTGCAAAGGGCTGCATTGAGACTGCTAACTTCGGCAATATCGCCTTCGTGGAGTGTCACATCGATCTTCTGTTGATGCTTTCCGTTTTTACAGTGATGCTCGGTTTGAGGGTCAGAGTTACATTTGGCCTGGCATGTAGCGCAATCCCATTCCGAGGATGATATTTGGTCCTTGGACATTTCTGGTGGATTGCTTTTATCTTGGTTAATTTTTTCGCGAAGGGCCCAATCATCCATCAGTTGGAGACTCTCGTCTCTGGGTCTGAGGTAGCTCTCCCAGCTTAATTTGCAACTCGTCTCCTCTACATGTTGCGGCATATCAAAATCTGGTGCGCAATTACAGATACCTTGGCAAATGTTGCAGCTCTGTACTGAAGGTGGTTTCTCTGCATGCTCTGGCACATTGCTCTCATGCGATTTTGCTTCCTGTGACACAACGTTCTTTTCCATATCATTGTTACTGCCTTCTTTGCATGATGCTTCCATGTGGATATTGCCCATTTTCGTGATATCGCCTTCGCTGAGTACCGCATGGGTCCTGCCCGTTTTCGTGATATCGCATTCGCTGAGTATCACCTGGGTCCTCTGTTGATGCTTTCTGCTTATGCAGTGATTCTCGAAATGGGCTTTAGAGGCACATTTGGCCTGGCACATAGTGCAATCCCATTCCAAGGATGGTGTTTGTTCTTTGGAAATTTCTGGTGGACTGTTTTCCTCTTGGTTGATTGTTTCGCAAAGGGTCCGAGCATTCAGTGTGCGTCTTTCATCTCTGACGTGGTTCTCCAAGTCTAGGTCACAGTTCATTTTCTCCACATGTAGCGGCCCGCTGTCCAGGTTCAAGTTTGCTTTCAGAGACTCAGAATTGATTGCCTTGGTATTGCTTTCTTCGAATAGAGCTTGAATCTTCTTTAAGTGCCTTTTACCCTTCAGGTGGATCTCAAGATCTGATTCGCGGCCACAGATAACTTGGCAAATGTTGCAACCTGCTAAAGGTGGCTTCTCTGCATGCTGTGGCACATTGCTCTCGCGCGATTTTGCTTCATGCAGTGAAATGTTCTCCACAATATCGTTGTTGCCTCCTTTGCATAAGGCATTGATGTTATGCTGATGCCATGTGCCTTTGAGGTGCTCCTCCAAGTCTGACTGGCATGTACCGTTGGCCTGGCAGGTGCTGCAGCTCCATCTTATCAAGGATGTTTTCATCTGATATGTACCAAGAGAAGGTTCTGCTGCTTTTTTTGCCTTCTGACCACCGAGGGCCTTAATGCCTGATTCCAGTCTTGCTATATTTGACCGGTGCTTCTTCCCGGCACAATGCTTATGTACGTCCTGCGCACAGTCTGCTTGTACCTGGCACCCCGGGCAACTCCATCTCATGGGTGGCTTCTTTCTTTTTCTGGGGCTCATGGGTGGCTTCGGCTTCTTAACTGGTATGGTTATTCCTGTCAGTTCCCACTTCTCCGCAGGCGACGCTTTATTTGGAGGAACATTCTGTTTGATATGCAGTTAGATTAGACCATTAGTATGTACTTCTGACAACAGAGAAGGCGACGCTTTCATGGCCTTATAAGTTCTTTAAAGTTTGGCCAGATCATTAGTATATGATTCTGAGAACAAGCCGAGCAAACTTGCCAGTACTGATAATGGTATGCTATAAAAGTTCTACCAAGGTCCAGATATTGTGAACTATGACTACGAGGTAATAAGTATACCGATAGTAACATAAGATGTTTTCTTAACAACAATTTGCCTGACAATAAC